TTATTATTTATTTTAGTGTTCTGTCTGAGGACAGGTCCATATGACCAGGATCCTTCCATCCTTTTCTCGGATTGGGACCTGTTCATATACGTTCTTGGCAGATGATCCAGAAGTGGTTTGCCATTGCCTTCTTCTGTGTGTGAATGGAGTAATTGTTGGGATGCCACGGAGGAAAACTCCGTGTTGTCTAGACCACGGCCTTGCCCAACACAAGTTATAAATTCGGGCACCGCCGGGAGTCGAACCCGAGACCCCAGGATTACAATAGCAGCGTTCTGACCGCTAGACCACCGTGGCTAGTTAGTGAATACAAATAATAATTTAAAGTGCGTAATAGAATTCTCTCTTCGCATTGTTAATACGTCATCCAACAGTTCGTTAAGGGTTAATAACAGTCTTGTAATATAGTTTGAACATTTTATGTAAGATATGCACAGTAAATCATGCGATTGTTTATACTCTTTTGAAAGTCCGCCTTCTGTAACGACCCCTCGGCCTTCGGCTCTGACATGCAAATGTTTCAACATCGAAGTTGGTTCACTCATTCGTTCTTCTGTTATGGTAGTGGTTGTTGTGTGGTGAAGCACACTTCATCGTCTTGTTAAGGAGGTAAGGACTTCACTTCTTGCAATTTTCTTGATTTCCCAAGTATTCATCGGCGCTCTAATAGATCTGTTCTTAACAGTATAAAAAACGTCACTACACTTCGACTTTTGAAGCTGAAGTTGAATACCATTTAAAGATTGTCCGTACCTCCGAGAAAACGTAACGTGTCTCTATTACAAATATCAGTCGGTTAATGTTGATTATGGAAAACACACTGAAAACAATATGAAACCCATTAATACGTTGTGAGCAAAATACAGAATTACTGAGATTTAAAGTAGATGGTACATATTACCTCTGGGCTTTGAAGAGTTAATAACCGAGGAGGCTCACGCATGGTTAGAACGATATTCCGGACTTGGATTCGAGTCTCGTAAGAATACAGGTCAATAGTTTTGTGGTTTTTCTCATTCACTCCAGACAAATAGGTACCGGAATAGTACCATGAAGTAGGCTCCCGGAAGATATTTTTCAAATTCATTCGTACCTGACCATCTTCGTATCATGTTTGACGGTTTATAACCTTTGCAGTTGAGAGAGCGTCATTATGATGGGAATATTAAACGGAGAATGTTAGAATGGAGGCGAGTTAACGTAATCTGGGCCGAGGATCATCATTACGAATGCAGGCATATTTACTTCAGATAAGCTACAGATCGGTTTTCTTCAAATCCCTTTTTGTGTTTCCTCATTTATACTTCATCTTCTGAGCTCGTTCAATGTAACAGAGGAACACAAAATGTTAATATGACGAATCGTCCTTGGTAGAGTTATAAAGGCCCATCAAAAGTGATGTCACGTAATTATTTATCTTTATGGAGATAGAATATTTAAATTAAATTTTTTGGGTTTTTTCAATAGTCTAATAAAATAATAAAATTGAACGACGTTTCGGAGATGAGACTCTATCTCCGTGTTCAATACCTGGAGACGGAGATAGAGTTCCATATCCGAAACGTCGTTCAATTTTATGATTTTATTAGACGATGGAAAACATAAAAAAAATTAATTCAAATAACTCACCATCGTCACAAACTTTTAGATTTGAGATAGAATATTTAAATTAAATTTTTGGGTTTTTTTCAATCGTCTCTGGGCGTTTTCACAAATACGATTTACGGAACATTTTGTTCTTTTAAATTCCAGACGAAGGACACAGTCCAAGAATTTAATAATCCCAAACGTATTTGTTGAGTTGAGCGATTTATTTTGGTGTATATGTTGTCTGTTGTACCAATTCATAAGAAGGGTCATAAGACTGATTGTAATGATTATCTAGGAACCTCTCCCTTTTCATCTGTTTGCAAAATTTTATCCAACATTCTTATTTCGAAGCTGACTCCATATGCCAATTAAATTATTGGGGAACATCAGTGTGGGTTCTGTCGTAATAGATCTACAAGTTATCAAATGTTCTACATTCGCCAGATACTAGAGAAAAAGTGGTTCAGTCCATAAACTATTTGTAGACTTCAAGAAAGCCTACGACTCAGTTAAAACAGAGGTTATTTGCAATATCTTGCTTGAATTTGGATGTACTTAAGAAGCTAGTCATGTTAATTAAAATGTGTTTAAACGTCGGTATTGGTAAACATTTGTCTGATACATTTCCTATTCAGAATGGCCTGAAACAGGGAGATGCTTTATCATCACTGCTTTTTAATTTTGCCTTAGAATATGACGTGAGGAAATTCCAAGCTAATCATTGCGGTTTGGGATTGAATGGGACACATCAGCTTTTGGTCTGTTGGGTGATAATATAAATACTTTAAAAGTAAACACAGAAACACTTTTAAGGGTTAAAAACATCAAAGCAACACTTTTCATCACGCCCTAATACAGTGAGGCGGTGGATAGTTTTCCTGACGAATTCCTTAAAGCAGATCACGGGCTTAGAACCGACGAAACCGTGCTGATTAAGAGACATTGACGTAACAGAAACAGAGTAGCACTTACAGTGCACTCTAACGATTAACTTGAGCAGTTAGTGATATGCGCCATCTGTTGCAAACCCTGTTTCTAGCGTGACCGACCAAACTCATCATCATTCTGTCTGCGCGCACGAAAGGCTGAAGGCATGGCTGACCTTGAGTGGGGGTTCAGACAAATTACGCTCAATTGCTGTGTTCGGAGAAAATCTATTACGCAAGTAGCAAGATTTGTCTTCACGCTGTGGAAGAAGGAGTTAAGTGTTCACGTACTCTACCACGGTCGTCACACATTGGACTCAAAACAGCAAAATGGAGCGTGTGGTCATAGAAACATCTTCCATCAGTCATACCGTTTTTATTCTATTCTTGGCCGTAGGTTTTCGTGGCTGGAGTAAAATTTATAACTTTGATTTTTGGGTGAGAGCCGCGTCGAATGTTTGGTGTTAACCAACGTTTCGGAAAACATTTCACTTGTCGCCTTGACTTCTACCCGAAAATGAAAGTTGTAGGGGAGACCAGGGCAGAACGGGACCGGGTGAAATTTCGTTAGCTTACAGCACAGGGACACGTTATGTCAGTCAGCGCCATCTTGTGGTTACATTTAATGAAATAATCACCCTTGCTGGATTTTGCTCCTTAATTTTAGACATTTTTATCAACTTCCAGTGAAGGTAAAACCTATTCATTGTTCATATCCACTTTGTTGAATGACGCATGTGACAGGGTGTTTTCTTGAAAGTCTTAAACGCAATATTTTTATTAATTTTCACGATGTCATTTTTGGTGGGACAATCCTAATTTGAAAGAGTATACTCGGGGTAGAATGGGGTACCCCGTTTTGCCCCGAGTGAAAGTAGAGAAGGATCAAGATGAGTGCCTGTAATGTGGCGATGTCTATTTGCAGTCTATTGAAGGGTTGATCTGGCATTCGTCTTGCTTGAAATGGGCCCATAATTCATGTGCAGATGTTGAAAGTCACGATGATGAAGAGGTGCACATGTGTGTTGTCTGAGTTAGGCCTAATTAGATTTAAAACGTGTAAAGTTTCGACATTTTACATTGTATACTAAATCATTTTTATATCCTACATCATAATTATTAGATAATTTGTGTCTTCTTACAACCTTTAAAACATATATCAACCATACTCCGTTTTGCCCCGGGCAAGTTACGTTCCTGTAAAAAAAAATGTAACTCTTAGAACTAAATTAATAACTCATAAATTTCAAATAGACAAGGTTCCTCCATGTGTTTATCTTTATTGTTGTCCCTTTCATATGCCTCCAAAGAAAGTACTTGGGCAGCAGATGATTGTGACAAATTTTCCTCAAACAAAAACAAAACAGAAAATGAGGTTATGTGTAGTGATGACGACTACTGTACGAGATGGTGCTATTAAAATAGTTAAGTGTAGACACATACTCCATAATTTTTATTTTTCTTTCACTATTGAGATCCTAACTTCAGTATTTTGCACAATTTTATTAAAATACAGGCAATAATAACAAAATATAGTTTACCACAATCCATACTTGAACACAAATATTGGTCATTGGCATACAGTGGCACATTCTAAGATGGCTGCAGACATTTGGATTTTTATTCAGAGACTACCAAGAATGTAAACAAATATCCCTTCTAATATTTTTATAGGAACAAGCAAGATGAGAAAATTTATTCCATTGCTTTTCTTCATTGGATGGAATATGGATCATGTTTCTGCTGCCAAGATTCTGGGCCTAATGTCAACGCCATCTCCTAGTCATCACATCTGGAACCGAGCCCTGATGTTAGCTCTTGCTGCTCGAGGCCATCAAGTCACAGTCCTTAGTCCTAATCCAGAGAAGCAACCAGTCGCTAACCATACAGATATCGTTATTGAAAAAGCCTACGAGAGACTAGAAGATTCCAACTATAATTATGAAGCTATGAGTACAATGACTTTTATTGAGAATGCACGTATATGGTTCCTCTGGGGTCAGGATGCTTGTGAGTTTGGAATGTCAACAAAAGGAGTTCAGAAACTTATGTCACTGCAAGGAAAGGAAAAATTTGATTTGATTATTATAGATATAACTCTTGAGGAATGCTTTTTGGGATTTGTCCCAATGTTTGGTTATCCACCTGTGATTGCCATCACGGCGTATGTGAGTCCGCCTTGGTATAATACCATGGTGGGAAATCCACAAATATTATCTTTCACTAGTATGCAGACATTGCCATTTACAGATCATATGACTTTTGGTCAGAGAATGGTAAATTTTCTACTTCACAATTATATGTTATATTATCGAAATTTCCACCACCTCCCAGCCATGGATAATATAGCTAAGAAATATTTTGGAAATTCTGCACCTTTACCTAGTGAAATTGAGAGGAATGTCAGTTTAGTGATGGTAAACACTCACTTCAGTATGGACTATCCATTACCACTAGTGCCAGCAATGATACCAGTTGGAGGAATGCATATTACACCTGGAAAAGAACTTCCAAAGGTAAGTGAAAGAGATTTATTATACCTTTCAGAAAAGCTTGCTACAAAGTAAGATAATAGGGTAGGTAAATTCGGTGGTAATATATCAGATAATTCTGGGAGTCGCCATCGTCATCAAAGAGTTATATGGCCTATTATAATTGTTCTTGGCATCTTTTTCCATTAGATGTGTATTTTATCATTAATGAGGAAAGTGTGCCTGTCTTTCCATTTCCACGTAGTGATTAAAGTCTTTTAGTTCTTTCAAAATATCTTCATTCCCTCTGTAGTTATCTCATCTTCTCATCATGGACATTGTGATCAATTATTTGTCCTTTGCCTTTGTTGTAACAGACTCGCCAAAAAACTCTTGTGTGCTTCTGCAAGATTACTAGAACAGATTCTGTACAGTCACTTATTCAACCACGTTAAAAGTTAAAGTAAGACCCAGCGTGGGTTCTTTTCTCACACATTTACAACAACAAATTTAATAAACTTTGTTTTGTACATATTTAATGCATTTCATAATTGTAAAAGTATCAACGCCATTGAAATCGACTTTGAAGAAGCATTTTATAAGATTAATCATTGTATTGTTATTAAATAAGCTTTATTATTTTGGTTTCATGTTGCAATTACTAAAACTTATTGTGAATTATGGAGTATCCAAGGGCTCCAAACTTCATTTTTGTCCTCCATCAATGCCTCACCTGCCATAGGTATATATTCAAGATGCCTATTGTAGGCAGACGATGTAGTTTTATAAGGAAATCAACAATGAAAAAGATGAAATTGCAAGAGGACTAATGTTCACTGAAATAGTTATGTGTCCAATGCTGCATTTAAGTGGAAACTATTTTATACATGATAAAATAATCTTGGGCAACAAGCCATTTTATTTCTTCACAGACATCCGATGTTTTGAAGACCTTCCCTACTTCCATCATCAAGGGATTCCCTTGATGATGGAGGCGGGGAATGTATTTTTAGTAAGGAAATGTATAGACTACAAATTTGAAGCCTTTGCCATAACTGAGTGGTTGATCAGCAATATCAATAGGAAATGATTTTCTGTTGTTTTGGAGGTTGTTTCTGCCTGACATGCATTGCATCCACATAGCAGTGTATTCAGCAGAGGTATAGGTTTACTCTTTCAACATAGATGCAGGTTTACTCTAAGTTGCAACTATATGACTCATCACACCAATTCCTGATGATGGAGGCAGAGACAGTCTCCGGAACACTAGAAATTTATTCCATTCCATGCTGATATGACTGATGTCATTAGTAGACTTCACTGAAATTCATGCACACATTTCGATTAAAACATCCATCAGTCTTGTCCTGGTTGATTTATAGGTTATGTAATTATCCTGCATCAGTGTCAAAGTTTATTCTTGTATGAGATGAGGAAATAATAAAGTATAATGAACTACAGTCGATTTGGAATAAAGTGGCAGTGGCCTGATTAAATTACTAACCCAGAATGTGTGTGGAATGACTTATGAAAACAAAAAGTTCAAATCAGGATATCTGGATTTTAACAAAATATTTCCTGGTGGTGCTCAGCCAATTGCTTGATCATTCTTGTGACATGCCCGTAACACCACTTGTACTAAAGACTTATTTAGGTATGGAGAAAAGAAGTCTAAATTAAACTTATAGATTGTTTTTGCTAATGAACGTTTAGGAAAGGAATAGTAACCTGCTCTTTAGTAAAGTGAATATAATTGTTTCAGGATTTGAAAATGTTCCTGGATGAAGCCAAGCATGGTGCTATATTCTTTAGCCTTGGTTCAAATGTAAGGAGTGACAAGATGCCACCTGAAAAAGTAAAAGCATTTTTAGATGCATTTTCAGAGCTTCCTCAGAGAGTTCTCTGGAAGTGGGAGTCAGACTCATTGCCAGGACAACCTCAGAATGTGATTGTCAGAAAATGGCTGTCACAGAATGATATTTTAGGTATTGTATAGTATATTAAAATACAACAGATTAATTTTCTGGCAACAGAACCTGAAGGTACAACACCACTAATACAGACCCCACATTAAGACACAATCCAGAGACAGTTGAATCCAGTTCACATTCTCATAACCTATTTCCATGTTAATATCATACCATCTCCTTCTTAGTCTTCCAACATGTTTTTCTTCTGTCATCTTTATCACTACCACCACAACCATAATTATGTTGTAGTTACTGATGCTATTAGTAATGGTGTTTTATTAATATTATTATTTAAACATTATGTAATCTGAAGTTCCCATTCTGATATTCCAAAGCTTTATATACATAAATAGGCTATATATGGAGATTATACCTAACTTTAATTATGTCAAATCTTGATGTCTACCTAAAAATATTCAATATACCAACAAGCTGAACAGCCCAAGATGCTAAAAATTCATTAAAGATAATCTTATAACACTTCTCAAGGACCTTTGGCAGGATATAGCGAACTTTGGAGAACACTCCATTCAACGAAATTTTGTTAACATTTGTATGAGTGATCCTTATAATAATGCCATAATTCCATCTAATTGTTGTTATTTTATTCAAAGACACTTTTGGATCATCATCTTCATCTTCTTCTTCTCCTCCTCCTCCTTCTTCTTCTTCTTCATCATCATCATCTGAATGTTTCAATTTTTTCATACCATTGTTTACAACACAGAGGACAATCCACAGATGATGTGATAGAAGCACAGAATTTTGGTATTGGGATGTATGATACGAGGTGCGATCGGAAAGTTTCAAGACTGTGTCAATAGAGGGCGAACCGGATGTAGTACGATCTTCTGCCGCTAGGGGGTGCGGCCTACATTCATAGTGAATTAGTGTGCCAGCCGGCATCATCGAATTAGCATTTGTTTCTTAGTTACGGGCGTTTTGGTAGTGCATTACACCGACCCTCCTGCGATTTCGGAATGGCGTGTGCATCAAATTTTGCCAAAGACTCGCCAAAACGGCTACGGAAACCTATGAAATGCTAAAGCAAGCATTTGGGGAAATACTTCGAAATGGGTCGTGCACAAACTTTTGTGAGGCATTC